GCAAAGGTAGACGCCGCCTCTGCCTTTCAGATGAGCCCCACCACCTGTAACTTTCCTGCACCTGCAAGAACAGGTGCATGGGCCCCCCAAGATCAGACAACTGAAATCCCAAACCCACTGCTGAGTTGTCGGTTAGCACCCTTCCAAGACTTGAGTAGAACCACCCATAGGGTCTCTGAGGCTGCCAATCGCTCTAGAAGCCTTGTCTTCCTCCTGTGGAGCAGCTGGGGATTCAAACTGCCCACCTTTACATGGCTGAGCACATTAGCCACTGCGCCCCAGGGTGCTTGCTCACGTGTGCCAAAAGGATCTGTGTAAAGCCACTGGAGAAAGGACTCTATCTCCTTTGATTATTCCAAGGATTATTCCAACTCCAAAGCTGCCTTTGATTTGGCAATACATGTCTGTCACATGTATCACATGGAAAGTCAGCTTTCTATCTTTTGTTGATGTTCACACAAAGTCATATATGTTGGCCTGTAGCCGGCTTCCAAATTAAGTTGACGTGAATCCGAGTCGGACATGAACCCTCATCATGTTGCGACCGATCTATAAATATCTGTATTAAATTAAATGACCGTATTAGCTAAATCAAGGAGCCCCGGTGTTGTCATGAGTGGTGAGTTGGTCGGCAGTGCAGGCCCAGGGCCACTCTGCTGCAGAGATGAGCCTGTCCACTCCCGTAAGGTTTGAGTGTCAGAAACCCAGGGAGCAGTTTGACTTGGCCCTGTAGCATCGCTACGATGCAGAATTGACTGGACGAATCCAACAGCTACTCCACAGGAGGAAGCCGAGACCATTTGCATCTAGAAATATTTTTATTGTTATCCGAATCTTACATTTGAACCGGTAATAGAAGATCGATAAAGGCTTTGACCTATACTTAGGCAACTGAGACTTACCTGCATTCCTTCCTTGTCAGGAAACTCAAATCCTCTTAAATCCAATTGGGGTGGGGGTGGGAGGCGGGGCAAAACATCTCAGTGTCTATTGGAATGCTTTTAAGCTTCCACTAACTCTGAAATGCATATTAGTACATTAGGAGGGGGTACCAAAAAAGAGGGAAAGCTCCGCTAGACAGAGCTTTCCTAGTACACCCCCCTACCCCCACCCCTCCTCCTGTTAAGTGAGAATCAGTGCACCCAGGTGGCATCGCCTAAGAAGGATCTGGTCATAGTGAATTTTTTCGTAAACGTAGTTTCGCTTGAACCACGTTTTTTTGTGATGGCCAATTTAAGAGAATAATGTGTGGCTGTGAAATTTTGTTTCTTGCCCGGGAAACAGAGGCTGGTGTGATGTTGGCCACAGCTTACAAGGACAGCACGATGGGCAAAACTCAAGTGTACAGTGGTTTTCTTATTTCTTAAAAGGTTAAATTTTTGTTTGTTGCCAACCTTGTTTTTGGCCTTCGTTAACTTTCTTGACCGGGGGGGATTTTCACCGGATTTTGGGCCTTTTTGTTGTAGGGTTCCCACCGGCCCTTTAAGGGGTTGGCAAGTTTTTTTGGGATTGGGAGGGTTGGTTGGGAATTTTTTGCTTGAGTTCAGACCAACCAGGAAAAAGAGCATCTACCATAAACGTGCTGTGCTTTGAAAGAACGGCTCTGAAGCAACCCAGACTTTTTTCCAAGGTCATTACTGGTGGCGAGACATGCTGCTATTCTTATGACCCCAGAAGCAAACATCAATCAAACCAGTGGAAGACGCCACCATCACCTGGCCCAGAAAAGGCTCATCAAGTGAAATCAAAGATCATTTGGTTTTTTTTGATGTGAGGGGGGTGGGGGATTTGGAGTTTGTTCCACCAGGTCAGACTGTTAATCAAGCTTTCTTTTTGGAGGTTCTGAAAAGAAAGGGTAACAGTATGCGACAAAAAGGGCCTGATTTGTGGCAGATGGGAGACCAGTTTTGCCACCATGACAATGCACTTGCTCATACAGCCATCTCAGTGTGCCAGTTTGGGCAAAAAGCAGCATGCCACTCTTGGCCCCCCCCTCCCACCTTACTCACATGACTTTGTGGTTTGATGATGTAGAAGAGGTGAAGAAAAAGTATAGCATCTGGGGTCTTAAAGGCTTGAAGGTAATCAAGCGGCCATCAAGCTCAGAAGCAACAAAGCCCACATGGAAGAAGCACACCA